ATCCAAATAAATGTTCTGAAGAAATCCAGGGTATGTTTAAAGACTGAGAGGATGTGCATAGATAAACTACCATACAAAAGTTTGGGGTCAGTAAGATTATTAACAAAAATTAAAAATAGAGTAAAACAATAATATTGTGAAATAGTATTCCCATTTAAAATAACTGTTTTAAAATGTATTCCTGTGATGGTAAATCTGAATTTGAATCAGCCATTTAGAAATCATTCTTATCTGCTCAGTCGGTGCTGGTTTTATTATTATCAATGTTGAAAGCAGTTGTGCTGCTTATTATTTTGTGGAAACCATGATGCTTTAGAAATATAAAAAATAGAAAGTTTAAAAGAACAGCATATTTTGTTTGAAAACATAAATGTCTTTACTGTCACTTTTGACCAATTTAATGCATCCTTGCTGAAGTATTAATTTGTTTAAAAAAAAAACAACTTTACTGACCCAAAACTTTTGAAATGTAGTGTACGTGAGGATAAAATAAAAAATAAAAGTGAGCAGTAGAAAGCAGACAGACAGGACACATACTCTAAAGCTGGTCTGAGATCTTGTGTTCTTAAAGCCTCTAAAATGCGGTTGAGCTCCAGAAATGGCTGTTTCATGCTCATATCGATTACTACACCAGACTCCTGTGAAGTCAGATTGAAACACTCAATGTCAATGCCAGGATCAAAGTGTCAACAAAATACAAGCGCTTATACATGGAGAGGTTAACATACATATGAAATACTGCAATGTTTACAGAAATTCACACTCATTTTTAGAATAATACAAAAGAAAAGCATACCTGACAGAGGTCCTCCGCAACACTCAGCATGCCTTGTCGATACAGATGCTCTACGATAGTTTCACTGAGGTATTTCTGCCTCTCTGGAGAGTCCCAGACATTCTCAGCTACAACTGCACTCACCTCTGCATCAAAGTTCTGGACAAGAGAACACAGCATTTAATACACATTTTCAATCACACATTATCTACAATGGTAAATCAAACTACAAGGATAATTTCATTATCAATATAGTATAGAATTTGAGCAGATATTTATCATTTTTATCAAAGAAAGAAGAAAGCAGTCAGAAACTACTGGGGAAAAAAAGAGGAGGAATGGGATTGGGAATGTCCAAGGCAGTAATATTTCAATAATGTAACAGCATATTTTCATGTTTCAGGCTGCAGGTAAACAAATAAAATATTTCACCTTTTATTAGTAAGTCATTAATTATAGCATTTTTATAGTTTACTTATTGATCAAATCAAGAATGACCTAAAGTTCCCTCACAAAACTTCAAGGGGTTCGCAAACCCCAGTTTGGGAAACCTTGACTCAGATAAACTGTTTAATGTGTTGTTAATATTGATGTAATTTAACAACATAACCAATTCAGATATCAAACTCTTACTCTGTCGATCGCTTTTCCCACTTTCGACACACTGCCATGGATGTCCTTATGCCTTGAGGCGAGCATCTGCACAGTTTCTTTGATTTCCTTGCAGCACTGGGCCATTGTTTGATGGAGCACTGACAAATCCGCATCTTGAACACCTAGTGTACAATGAAATATAACAACTAAGCAAACTTTGATCTAAACAGACATATCTACTGTGACTCATCTATGTAACAAAGTTATGCTTATGTAACCATCTACAAACCTAACGTGTGGGCTAGAGGTTATTCAGCTAAACATTGCATGTTTGTTCGCACTGCAGGCTATTATTTATGCAGGCATCTAACACCTATTGTTCCTGACTTAATGTCATTGAATTGGCTTTTTTCAAAGCTGAAAAGGCACTTGGTTGACTTCCTCCTCCTCCTCCTCTTTAGACTTGTTTTCATATTCAAGCATTGACATATGAATCACTCTCTCACAAGTTGATAACAGGCTTTCGGAGCTAAAAAAACAACAACAACACAAATTTACCACAGTATGATACCATCATTTCGAAAATTTCAGTACCAATGTGGTGCTATTCAGTAGATGAGGCTTTGTAATTATTTTCTATCACAAATAGAAAGGAAATTAAAAAAATACCATATTCTTCTACAAATGAACTTTTTTGTCCCTTGTCTTTATACATATGCACATACAGGTAACACGTTGTGTCCTTGTTACACGTTACATGTAGTTAACACAGTAATAACTATGAATTATGCATAATTAAATGGGTAACACTTTACAATAATGTTTCATTTGTTAACATTAGTTTATGTGTTAACTAACAAGAACTTACCATGAGCAATACATTTGTTACTGTATTTGTTTATGTTAGTTATTAAAATACATATGTTCATTGATTATGCTACTTCACAGTGCATTAACTAATTTTAAAGTCCCACTGTAGTAAATAATTTTATCTCCTAAAACTCATTTTTGATCACCAAAATGTTGTTTTTTTCTGTGTAAAAAATATTCATGCAATTAAATAGCTTGAATCTATCTCCGCAACCTTGCTTTATTTAGCATTCGTGGAACCATGAATACGCTAATTAGGCCCGCATCCACTCACGCCAGTTCACAGATTCACTCGGCCAACTTACTGAGGTAAACGCTGCACAATGATACAACAATGATTTCACTCTTTACAACGTCGGACACATAACGGAAATTACTACGATTAGCCTTTTGCTTGACTATGTTATCAAACAGCTAATAATGTGTTGCTAATGTTTCACAAACTATGTTCCCATTCACCATCTCAGTCTGCCTTAACAATCATTTAAACAACTCATTTAAATCATTTAAGTGGAGAAAGGCATTTACTTCATAATAATATACATAATACACCTGCTACATTACTGAATCTACCCGAATTTTCACATCAACAAATTAAAATATAGGGATAACCTGGCATCTTTTGAGACTCCCCTTCTAGTTCGCTGTTAAAGACATTGACGTGATTGGTTGCAAGGTAGTTTGTGATATCAGAAACACCAGCGATTTCAAACCTTTTTTTTCTGCAGTTAAGGAGAAAATATTCAGCAATGGCTAAGCACATTAAAAACACCACATAGACATTTAAACAACATTAAAAATGTGATTTTCACCACAGGGGGACTTTAACAAACACAACATTTGATTTTAATAAATATATTACTAAATGTTGAAATTAGCATTAGAAAGATTAATAAATGATAAAGAAGTTAACTAATGTAGTTTAGTAATGTTAACCAATGAAACTTATTGTAAAGTGTTACCATTACATGCAACCATGTACATGTAGTTTATTAAAATTACTCACTACTTATATGTAAAATTACACTCTAACAAGAACACCTTACAATAAAGTGTGACAACACATATATTCTGACTGATGTCACATGCGTGTCATTAAAATGAATCTCCAAGCCTTGATTTCATCAGTCACCAATAGCTGTTTTGTTGCCTAAGGTATAGATATCGAACTACCAGAGGCTCATGTTGTACCAAAGCACAAATGATGGTGTCCAAGCAGACTCCGAGCTCACCGTAGGCAACCAATTGACTCCTCAGCTCACAGACGTTCCTCAGGAGTTCATCCAGCCGTTCTTCTGACTGATGCCCATACGTGACAAACCTGTGTAGCACCTTCTCGAGCTCCCGTTCCACACACGCACACTGCTCCATCAGCACAGCCGTTACAGCTTACACACACACACAACGTCCTGCAAAACAACAACAAATAAAAGTCAACCTCAATCTAAAGATTAGCCTAACCCTAACCTCCTCCATTAGGTGTCTACTAACACCTATTTAGGCTGTCCATTTCAGGAATTAGTTGCATAAAACACAAAATGCAATAACATAATTTTGGATTTGGCTATCATCTGGTTCAGGTTGGTATGATGAAACTTAGGACTATATATATATATATATATATATATATATATATATATATATATATATATATTCTAGTATAAAAGCAATACTGCAACAATCAATGCATATCAATCATAAACAACAGAAAATTTCTCGGTAAAACATTTATAAAAAGCCTTTGCCGGGGTAAGGATTATGCAGCCCAAACACTGCATAATGATGAGCTAAAATAGCCAACAACATCTATCATTCTCAGTTTATTTCAACTTTTAGAGTAAGGCACTGCAATGACATTTAGGTCAACTTGAAGGAAACTGAAATTCGTTGAAATTGTGCGTTGACATCTACATCTACAGATACTACAGGATCAAAACAATCAGTTAGCTTGTTAGCATAACCGAGACAACATCAATCAATTGGAACGATTCAACGTGATCTTTGACACTAACGATGGTAACGTTGTTTAAATCACAGTAACCTAGTACTGACCTCGAACGAATTTTAGAAGGTTGTAACAAACGCGTAAATTAAATAATACATGATGTTCTTGCCTGTTTTGACACCACTTCACCAGCAGACGTCCCTGACGCGAAGCAGTGGTCTGTGCTGGGGTGACGTGAGTTTTTGACGCTCTGCTGCCACCCGCGGCCTGGAGGTGTAATTGGATTTACCTCAAAATATCAACAAAGGCAAAGCACACACTTCCGATACACGTGTACAAATCACAAATTTGGCCAGTTTGATGGTCTTGGATTGTTTAAGGTGGTTTCCCAGTCCTACTAGTTTAAAAGTCTATCAAACCAGGGACCAGACTGGAAACCATCTAAAAGCAGCAAACTAGAAGGGTTTAATCTAAAACATATGAAGCAGTAATAAACAAATATGTGAGAAAATATGCCTGTCCTCAAGGACTTCGATTATGTAAACTTATGGGGGGACTAGTATAGATGATTTTCACTAAACCTATTGCAAAATATTGTATCATTACAGCAATTTACAACTTATAACATGCCAATCAAAAAATGTCTAGGACATATGCAAATATATAATGCTTTGTCTTTGACTCTTGATTGTGTCATTTTTGAACAATGCCAGCAATCATTGTTGAGCATTTGATAGTTCAGCATTAATAAACTACTTTCTAGTGTGATCCACATATATACAACAAGGACAAAAAAACATGGCAAACTGGTGTCTATTGTAAAATTTTACTTATAATATTTATTATGCACAAGGTACAGTACAAAATCATGGGTCTCTAACATGGCAGCAATCTTTTTGCCCAAATGTCCTCAGGAAACTGTCATCTGCATTTCATCCTCTTCATGGTATCCATGGGGTACAGCGCTGAAACACAGCAGCAGATTTTGCAAACATACAAGAAACACAAAAATGAGTGAAAGAGATTATACAAGGTCCATAAATACAGAGACAAAAAAGCATGACTTAGAAAAAGCTAAGAAAACAGAAGAACAATGGTCAATGATGATGATGAAAAAGATTTAAAAAAAAAAGCTTTTTAAAAAAGCATCTGCATTATTAGGTTGCAAAAAAGAGCTATATAACCAGAAATGAGTGTAAGGCCTAAAGTCATTGAAACAAAATCCATTGGAACATATCTCCTTTTCCAAACATGTTCTGTTGATACAAACATTACTTCATTATATGAGGCAGTTTTTTAATCAGGGTTTGGGATAGTACCTGGTGCACAATGATATTGCAAACAAAAGGTGCTTTTATAATTTTTGAGAATAAAGTGATGGTGAGAGAAATTTCAGTACTTATAATCCTAAATCATACTGTTGCAAAAGTTAAACACTGATACTGGGGAAAAAACGGGTTCCAGTATGTGAATAACATAAGTGGAAAGATGGCATTTATTTGTCAAAATATGCATTTGTCATCCCTCGAACATTAATCCACAATGAACTCCCATTATAAGTTCCATCAGCCAGATCTACAGAGAATGTTGATTGAATGAACTTTTAGTTTGTAATTATTAAATGGCAAAAGATCATGATTACAATTGACGCTTTGAGATTTCTCCTGATATCTGAAAGAGTGCAAAACATTCAGAGGCACCTTTTAAAGTTTACCACACACAAACTCACATGACTAAACAGAGCAGATATGCCACAATATCTGACATTCGAATCTAAATGGATACCGTAATGAGGCATCTGACGATTTATGAGCAGTATTTTGAGACATTGGTAGAATTTAAGTAACTAGGGGAAGTACAGATGGGCCTTTTGTAACATCCATCTTATCTACGTAGTACAAGCTCATCTTCCCTAAAAGAATCAATCAAGACTCAAAAGGTGATACAATCACTTCTCTAGTCTAGACTTAACAAAAACTTAAAACTAAAAGTTTCTTTAGTTTTGACAATTTTCTGAGAAGTTAAGAAAAAAATGACAGGTTTCACAAAAACACAAAAGCAAAAAGTGCATGACTGAAATCAAGCAGGATGATGCTGGGTATGTCGCACTTAGTTCTTTTTTGACAGTAGCACTTTTTTTTTTAAAAAATTCACAAATCAGCTGAAATGATGTACTAGGACTCCTATTACTCATTCTCATATGGTGGTGATACTAACAGACACCAAGCACCATGACCCGTGGACCATAAAGCCTGATGATGTGGCAATGTCATTGTAATCACACAATGAAGGGTCTGCTGTTTTGGGGGGTCTGTGTTTTCTTTTTTTAAAATGATCAGAGATGTTCTTAAAAAACCAAATTGGTTGGTCAATGAAGTGTAATCAAAATCTATGCATGGCAGATTTCGCACGCAAGACACAACAATATGGTTTGTGTGTGCTCCATTTCAACCCCCATGAGGTCATCCTTCGGTTTAGGATCAGAGAATGTAAACAAGTCGAGGAGGAAAATGTAAAAAGAAAAAGCACAAAAGAGCACCAGACACTATATACCAACAAAAGGACTGTGAAGCCACAGTCCCACAGCACCAGGTCCAACCCTCTTTATGGACTCTTCCAAGAGGACTTGGGTTAAGAAGGCTTAAGAATGTTGCACATGTCCATCTTTCTCAAACGTTGCTTTGCATTTAGCTGGGCATCGACTGAAAAAAAATGGCAGCTGACTTTCCCTGCAGGTCACCCGCTGAGTTTGTGTGTCCATGAGATGGATGTCTAGCAAAAATGCAGGAGAGCTCACTTTTCTCCTTCAACAGACTCATCCCATGATGATTCCTGGTCATCCTCCTCTACTTCCCCTAAGTCCTCAGTCCCTTCAACGTCGTCATCATCCACATATTGAAAGTCCTCAAACTCGCCTCGGACCACCTCCTCTTCGTCTTCTTCCTCAAACCCCATTTCTCCGTAGTCCATTTCTTCATCATCATCCTCATCATCATCATCTTCCACGAGCTCAAGGCCATCTTCATCTTCTCCCTCATCCCCGATCACTCCTTCCACCACCTCGCCTTCATCGCTCATATCTTCCTCCTTGATGTCCTTAGAAGGGGAAGAGGGTGGCAAAACCACATTGTCCACTACCTCGCCTGCGAACGGGTCTCTTTGGGCTTGGAATGCGGGTCTGTTTGGGGCAGGAATGAAGAGCGGAGCAGCAGGCGGTAGGGCAGGCTGGGGTATCCTGCCGGATGCCGCCATATTGGGAAGTGGGGGTAGGATGGCCGTGCCGTGCACAAACTCTCGAATCTCGCCCGGTTCCAGAGGGTCGGGGCCACACGGGTCGTGCTCGCTACAGGACGGCTTGCCGTCCAGTTTGGATATGAACAGCATTCCCTCACGGTGCTGTTTGCAGTAGGAGTTGGGACACATCTCACAGTAGGACGCTGCCTCCCTCCCGCACTCGTTACACTGATGCCACGGACACTCCCAACGGCCTAAAAAGATTCAAGTGAGGTAGATTCAATCATGAATAAAATTCTGAAAAGCTCATTCAGCCACATACTCAGATCATGTACATGTATAAATATATGACTAAATAGCCAATAGTGGAAGAGTTTTTCCATGATTTGGCATTAGAAAAGCAAGAAAAATTCTTTTAAGTGCTAAAAATATATTTTTAAAAATGATACAATTTTTTCTGTTTAAAAACAAAACAAATGTTAAGATGTATTTAATCTTTAAACTGCAGCCCAGAGGACCTCCAGGGGTGCCACAAAGAGGTGTGTAGAAAAGCAGATTTTACAAAATATATATTTATAGGGTTCACATTTTTATATATTAAGCATGTTAACAATTTATTAAAACATTTAAAAGCTACTGTTTAATACTTAATACTGTTTAATACTTAAACCAAGAGATTAATTATGAATATTTTACTCTTGACAGCCATAGCCATAGAAATAAATAAATCTGCATACTACCTCTTTTCACAAACTAGTAATAGCAAGCAGAAAATTATAATTTAATCATGCTTAAAAACACTTTAAAATTTGGGGTCAGTAAGATTAAAAAACAAATAGACACATTAAACTGATCAAAAACATCAGTGCTTTGTTTTAAATAAATGGAATTTACTTTCATTCAAAAAATTCTGAAAAATGTATTGCGGCTTCCACAAAAATAATTCAACAGCACAGCATTGATAATAAAAAGAAATGTTTCTTGAGCAGCAAATTAGTATATTAGAATGATTTCTGAATCAAATTTCTGATCATGTGACACTGAAGACTGGAATAATGATGCTGAAAATTCAGCTATGCATCACTGTAAATTACATTTTTAAACATATTAAATTGAAAACGGTTATTTTAAAACATAACACAATAATACTGTTTTTACTATTTTCCAACAAATAAATCCAGCCTCACTGAGCATTAGAGACTTCTTTCACAAGCTTACTGACCCCAGACATATCAACGGTAGTGTAAAGGATTTCATCTATTTTTCATCATCCTTTTTTCTTCTTAAAACATATCAACACGAGGAAGAAAAAAAGGGAGGGTCCATGAATGAAAAGCATCATAATCAAACTTCAGAGCAAGGTATAATAACATAGGACAATGAAACAAGTTAAACAATTTAGATACAAGAGACTTGTGTTGTTGTTTGAAAACGAGTCACTCACCTGCAGGTCTCTTGGACAGATTCAAACAGTCAGCATGATAGACCTTAGGACATCCGGGCTTCTTACAAGACACAATCTGTCCTCCATCACCACAGTAGAAACATTCATCCTCTCGCTCCTTGGTGACCGCCAACTGACTCTTGCGCTTCGCAGCAACCTTCTTCTTCAGTTTCCGCGCCTTGTCGTCAGATGGGGGCTGATTCTGAAGAGAAAGTTGATTGGAGTATGATGGAATAGGTACAACATACAAAAAGTGCTCAACTTTAAAACCTGAATATTCCTTTAAAAACTTATTTTTTTATAATAGATGCAGATACCTTTGGTCGGACACCAAGGAATCCGCTGCAGTTAGACGCCCCACATTTACACACCGTCTTCCCGTTGCCCAGACACTCCAAATTATAGTTGAAAGTGAGTTCAACACCTGAGAACAGCCACCAACCCTGTTAAATATTCATTCACCCACTTTCTAGTACCATATTATCTACTTCAGATTTCAACACACCTTTGGGAATGTCCTCTAACGCAAACAGTCCGACCCTGGTGTCTCCATTCACCGTCCACTTCTGTGTCTCACAGTTTGGTTGGCAGCAGTGGTTCATAAAACGAGCTTCGTTTCCTTTCGGCCCGGCATCTATGATGCGATCCTGCACGCACGTGGAGAACACGGTCCGGTGTCAAGTTAAGAGGAGAACATGTTATCAGGTAGATTGAAAATGGACCCAGATGACTGACCTTATCCAGTGTGAGCATGTAGAAGTTACAGATGTCGTTTTCCTGTGCGTGTTTGATTCTCGCTCGACACTCCTCTTCGTCAATGACCTCTCCAACATACTCGTTCACAAAAGCTCCCTATTGGTGAAATGATGTAATTAAAAGGGGGACATAATGTGCACAAAAAATTATGTAAAAAATATAACAATAATATATCCATGCATATTAGTAATGCGTGGATCGCAGTAATATCCGCGGGACTCATTTTACAGTAACTTTAAAAAAAAAACACTCTTTTCAAATGAACCGTATGTAAGATTGTAGTCAAAACTGGTACTGCAATCCCTTTCAAATTACTGTAGAGCGGTGTGTCTATTTGAATGAGAGAGAGAGAGAGATACAAACTACCATCAAACAAAATTTTAATTTTAGGCTCCGATCCTTATTCCGATCCTAGCCTCAATGGAGAAGGTTGGATTGTTTTCCTCCCGGTGTGGGCGTGGCCTAAATATGCTCTGTCTCTATAGGGAAGAAAAGACTATCGCAACTTAATTGTTTTTTAAAAAGCAAGTAAAAAATGCCCACCTTCTTGATGTCAGACACACTGCGTAAACCCCACCCACGTGACAGCGTCCTGAAGATCTCCACCTCGGTGTATTGCCGTTTGGTGAAGCTTTGGTTCTGACAACTCTCCCCTGCTGGACACACTTGAGGATGACACTCGTACAACAGCATGCGATTGATGCACTCCGAGTCAATGCCGCACGGGTTCTCGTCTGAAGCTTTGCAGTTGCAGCGTGGTATCTCTGACTGATCTGCTGTGATTATTTGCACCTTCCCTATTGGTCTGTTCACCTGTGCGAAAAAATCAATCAGTGTACATGAGATCAGTGTTAATATCTGAGAGGGGATCATTATAAATTACATTAACACAAAACATGTCTTAAAGGAATAGTTAACTCTCACCTTTATGCCATTCAAATGTGTGTGTTTTTTTTTTTTTACATTCAACACAAAAAGAGTATTTGAGTAATACAGACTTATGACTTATTATGACTTAAAATGGCTCCTTTTTGGCATTGCTTTATGGAAAAGAGCTACATATCGTTTTTACACGTCAAATTTTGTGTTCCAAAGAAAAAAAACAACAGCATTTGGGTGAGAAACGACATAAAAGTAAGTAAATAATACAAAATTAATAATAATTACCTTAATGTGTTTGTACGGAGGAGGTTTCTTGTCGTTCTTCCTGTCTTCTTGAAGCTTTCTCATCTCTTTCTCTGCTAGCAGTTCCCTGAATCTTTCAGCTGCTTCATTTAAAGCTGAGAAAGAACAAAAAAAGAAAATTCTTTAAACCAATTGTTTCTCAATATCGAAGAAATACACATTTTAAATCGATCATAACATTAACATATAACATTCTTTTAAAAATGACTGTATTTTACTGTTTCTTAAGGTTCAATCACAATGTTTATGTTGTTTTTCCACAAAAAAAGCAAATATATATGCATAGAAAATATTCTTTTTAAACCTCATTCTGTAAAATATCATAACATAATAAGACCGATTTCTTTCTCATTACAAAAGGATCCATGTCAAGTATTTGTCCAGACTAAGGTCATCACGTCATATATCTCTTATTGGTCCAAAACCCCTCTCCAGATAGCTTTATTTTTAGACATCAAATATGTTGTGACTGGCTATGATGGTGTGGAATCATTAGCAGTTTCATGTTCAGTGTGGATAGACAAAACAAGTGACTTCATTAGGACAACTGCTAGAACGTAAAACTACCTTTCTTATAGACGGCATCTGTACCCTTTCCCATTTTCTCCTTATTGTTGGCATCCCCTTCCATGTAGGGAAAACAGCGAGCCTGATATGTCCACACATAGTCTTTGGAGCCAAAAAAGTGTACAGGAAACTCCCCCACCTCATGCCTCATACTCTGGATTTTCTCAGGAACGTTTTTCGGTTGAGTCACTTCAGCAGGCCACCACCTGGCACAAACGAATGAGTAAATATCAGCAATTTTGCACTGTCACATTTAGAGTAAAAAATGGTGAAACACACACAAACCTGTAGCGGCCCACTTTCACCCACAGAATGTCCTTGTAATGGGGTTTCTTTCCTGCTCGACAGTCGTTACAGAACCAGCTTCCCTGGGGCATGTCAATGTTCAGACACTCACGGTGAAAGGCAGCAGGGCAAGATTCGCAGCAAAGCAGACTTCCTCCTAAAAAAAGTAAGGGCCCATTTTTTGACCATTTAATCACCAGCCAGGTAAATATTGTAAGTCTTGTTAAAGGGATACTCCACTTTTTTTGGAAATAGGCTCATTTTACAACTCCCTCAGAGTTGAACAGTTGAGTTTTACCGTTTTCGAATCAATTCAGCCGATTTTCTGACATTAAGAAGAATATCAGTAACCAGATAGTTTCTGGTCTCATTGACTTCCATAGTAGGAAAAAAATATATACTATGGTAGTCAATGAGACCAGAAACGGTCTGGTTACTGATATTCTTCTGAAATTCGAAAACGAATTTCATTCTTTTTCGAAAACGGTAAAACTCAAATGTTTTATCTCTGAGGGAGTTGTAAAATGAGCCTATTTCCAAAAAAAGTGGAGTGTCCCTTTAAGCACCACAGAAAAATGAAGAGTGATGTACGTACCTTCAGAACACACAAAACACCAGCTGACGTTAATGTGTTCATGGTTTTTGCACCCTTTGCGTGGAGTGAAGTGATTGGGGCACAGGAAACTGTTATTGGCCAAAGGAATGCTGCCGGCAGCCATACAGTAGTCATTGGCATGGTAGGCCACAGGGCAGCGCACACAGCGGGTCAAACGGCCTGCGAGATCGGCAAGTTATGATCACGAACACATCCATTTGTTATATTTGAAACAACAGATTTTATTTCTTTAAGTCAGTGAGTTTTTAAATCTTTGCACATGTAGTAGCTGAATGATGGGCACCTTTGGAGATCCCAGGGTTGGCGGGGTTGGTGATGTAGCAGGACAGACAGACGTGGAGGGAGCAGCGGAAGCCGCGGTTCTGAGCGATGGTGGGGGAATGTTTCAGTATGCATTCCATGTGATAAAACTTCCCACACACAGGGATCATACACCTCCTGACCTCCTTGTCAGGCTTTTTACACACAAAACATGTATGCACACCTACAGGAAGGGAAGACACAGACATGCAAATCAGAATGATACAACTCTTATACACTCAGTTTCAGTCAATCTCAATCTCATGTTAATATTGAGTTCCTATAGAGTAGTATTTTACTAAACTCAGCTCACAATAAATGTAAATTCCAAATTGATCCATATCGTGATGCGTATCGTATCATAGACATTGTGGGTGATACACAGCCCTACATCACAGCAATAGCAAACCACACACATCCTACTAAATCCTACTAAGTCCAAAACCAAGAAACTGTTCAGCTCAGGCATATGTCACAATAGGGAAGACAAAACAATGGCAACTTCCGTTTCATGCTGACTTTAATGTGTTCACTGTGTAATTGTTATTGAACTGAACTTTTTTCATGCAACTGGATACTTGAGGACTGACTGCCTCATGAATCCATCGCAATATCATATTTTGAAGGAGTAGATTTTGGAAGTGACACTGTCTGACACAAGATAGATCGTGTTAAGTGCTGGTCACTCACCTGTCTTACACTCTTGGCAGATAAACCGGCCTTTCGGTGTCTCCGTGAGGCCAATGCACTGCAGATGGAAGGCACCACAGCACTGCCCCTCACAGAGGAGCAGTTCACCCGTCTTCTCACATACCTACACCATATAGTCCCAAAACAGTTTTACACTGAACAGCTATGATCATTTTATTTATGCTACACACTACCATTCAAAATTTTAATGTCTCTTATACTCACCAAGGCTGAATTTATTTGATATTATTTTATTAAAAACAACAACATTATTAAATATCCATTTAATGCATACTTACTAAATAAAATTAACAATTTCTTAAAAAAAAAAAAAAAAGTGACCGCAAACTTTTGCATAATAGTGTGTATCAATACATGAAAAAAATTACTAAAGCAAATGGACTAAAAGAGGGCAAATTATATTGCCTCAATTTAATATTATTATCTGCATTTAGCATTTGGTAATATATAATATTTTCACCTGGCAAACATTCTCCTTCAACGACGCACCTCCACCCCTCTCCCCTGATTTTCTATTGGTCAACAGTCCTGAGAAGTCACCTGACAAAGAATCTCTGCTTGAAAAAGCACTGTCATTGAGTCCTGCTCCAAAAACCTGAAAATTATACATAAAAACAGTTATATAACTATAATTAGAGTTGACAAATCAAGTTTGAATAAAACATGGAAAAACTTACACAGGTTTGGAATGACATGCGGGTGAGTGCATTTATTTAAAATTTAGTAAAAAATGGATCATATTAATTTTAGGCTTATAATAATAACAACCTCAGAGATCAGGGAGTCCTCGCCATCGGTGTGTGGCTCCTTCGCCTGAGGCTTTGACGGGGTACAATGCTCTCCTTCAAGCTGGTTCTGGCAGACACTGGGTGTGTCCCGCTGGATTGGGGACAATGTTCTAATTTCATCCTCGCTTTGTGCTGCCGCTGAGGATGGAAATAAATTTCATTGCAATTTTTTTCAAAAATACAATGGTGGATCACTTACAATATTCTCAAAACTTGCAATTTTTTTTCAAAAATACAATGGTGGATCACTTATAATATTCTCAATAAAATAAAACAAATACATGGCCGAACATAGTCACGCATGAAAAACAAACCTGATACAACACAAGGGCTTGATGCCGAAGGTTCAGGCTCTTCTTGTTTCTGTAAAAACATCAGTATCACTGCTTGTCAGATTGTCTAAATTACTATTAATAATATTACTATTTAAAAATTGTTAATGTCTTTTTGAAACATTACATTTACATTCGTAATTTACAAATAAGTGTAATTTAGGTTGAATGCTTAAATTACTATTAAAAACATTCGGTTTAAATGGAATTCTGTCATAAATCACTCACCCTTCATGTTGTTCTCAACACAAATTTTCATTCATATTTGGAACACATATAAAGATATTTTTCTGTCCTTCCATTAACAGCTTTGCAACTACCACTTAGACCCCTCAAAAAGTTCATAAAGAGATCGTAAAATTAATCCAGATGAATTGAGTGGTTTAGTCCAAATTTTCGGAAGAGTCAAGGTCGCTTCGTATCATGATAAGATTGAATTTGGGCTTTTATTCACATATAAACATTTATCAACGCACACATCTGTTGTTATAAACCGAAGCTCAAGCATGATCACTTGACATGCGAGAAACAATGAGGTTCATTCTTGTGTGTTACGCATGACATTTAAGCTTCGGCAAGGACAACTGAGTCTAGTATTGTTGTTATTATTAGTGCTACTATTACAATCCTTCTTATTATTGTATTATCATATAAGACTAAATTAACATATCTTCCTCATCCTCCTGTAATTATTATTACTATTACCATCATCATTATTGTCCCCAATATGTTTTTATTTATTTATATTACGTCTGTTGTACATCTGTAAGGTGTTCCTCTGTTAAGATACTTCCACTCACACACCCATTTACACTTGCACACACATGCAGGCACACACACGCAGGCACACACACCATGTTGGCTGTTGTTATGTATGTTTTGTTGTCCTTGGTGTTTTTTGCTGTATCGGTCACCTGTAAGTGTATGTTTGCATTATAAAAATATATATATATATATATATATATATATATATATATATATAAAAACATTTTTTGTGTTCCAAAGATGAACGAAAGTCTTACAGGTTTGGAACATGAGAGTGAGTAATTACTGACTTTTCATTTTTGGAACCCTTTAAAGCCCATCCCAAAACATTACCTGCAAATCTTTGACACCTGAGTCGTCTTGTCTGTTATCGTGTTGTTTACTCTCCTTATTTGGTAGAGATAAAAGAAAAAAGAAAACAAATGTAAAAGAGCCCAAAACATGTAATCATTTTTCACAAATCATACAGAGACCACAAATTCAGCACTCACCCTTTTCTTTGGGAGCTTTACAAAATCCCCCTCAAGGCTGCAGTCTAGTATTTTATGCACAGGCTTACGTGGCCTCTTTCTATCTGAGGATGCTGCAAGAGCAATATAATGCATGTTTATACATAGAGCTGAGTTAAAAGTGAAGTAAGGTGTCTTAAACTACACATTCTTACCAGGTTTCTTCTCACACGACTCTCTGCTTAACGTTGTGCCTTCACAGGATGCCGATAACGGTGAAGGTGAAGCGAGAACATCTGGTAGTTGTTTCTGCTCATCTGGTGTGGATTGCTCAGAGGGTTTTTCAGGTTCGATCTGTTCTGATGCAGGCTGTGCAGTATTAGTGTTGGTGATCCAAGATCCCTTCAGGAAACATATTAAATAACATTATTCATATACAGCAATACAGTTTGCAAACTTTCATAATTTATCATTTAATATTTTAAATCGCACCCTTCTCCATAACTCTCAAATCTCATTTGCATGTGCAAACAGGTGGCACCACACAAGTCAATGACAGCAAATATCATTGCCTCTAACGTGCATTTGAATGTGTTGAATTGATTGCAAATGTGAACGAGAAAATACGATTTTTATAGCGATTTTTTTATTTTGAGGCTTGATAGCTATTGTATCCAATTACTTGTTGTACGGAGAAAAGAAGCATATTAAAACCTCTAAAATCATTTTTTTGCGCCTGTGGAAAAAGTTGAATATAATTTTGAATTATATTTAAAATTAGTATGATGACAACATTCATTTTTGGGTGAATCATCCCTTTAAATATAAAAAAAAAACAGATCAACGTATGTAGGTTGAAGTCCATTGTATCAACAGAAAATCTAACTGTAGAATTAGCTTACCGTTTTACAGGATTCAGGTGTTTTCTTTGTTTTCTTCTTTGGGTAAAATATTTGATCATATTCCTCACTCCATTCAATCAGCCTCTTGCTTGGTTTTCTCAGTCTTTTGTTTTCTGAGAGCAGAATAATTCATTGAATTTAACATAAAACATTTATGAGAGTTTTTACTCTTGAGACTTAATATTTCAAGATTTACCTGAAGCATCTTTTTTATCAGGGCAATCGGAATGAGGAGTTTCTTGAAGACTGTCTTTGAAGACTCCATTTATCTCTGTGGACACCTTCGCTACATCTTGATTCAAACCCACCAAATCGTTTTTTGGCTTGGTGCTTTTCCCAATGGCGGACTGAAATGTCTGCCATCGCTTTTTAGGAGCAACCTTGGAGATGGTGCCCTTGCCACAGACATCAGGAACAGCATCATTGTGAGAGTTGGAAAGTTCCCCTAACATAGGCAACCCCTTTTCAAGTGTATCCAAACCTATTGATGAGTTCTGCTTCTTTAGTGGAGATCCTAAACTGTTCCCATCATCGTGTTTTGGCGTCTCTTTTTTCGCCACTGATTTTGGCTTGGCCTTGCTCTGTTTTGAGCAGTTTGGCGTCGACGTCTTTCCCTCCTCATTGTTCTGATCCGCAACCGGCTTCCAGTCCTTTTCACAAAGCACCTCATTCGTTGCGTCTTCTCCAGGTGGGATGAGAGAAGGTTCTTCCCTGATGAGAGAGGATGGAGATGTGGGAGGGAGAGTTAAAGGTTTCCCTTCCTTCTCCCGGCTATCGTGCATGTCCTTCAGGAGCATTAGGAAAGTGCTGAATTTGTAGTTTGAATCCGCACAGAGCGAAGGTTCTCCTGAACTGCATTCCTCTTTGACAAGAGACCTGAAAGAAAGCTCCTTCATATCCTGGAGAGCATCCATGGGAGAGACAGAGGGAGACGGGATGGACGAAGACGATGTGTCCGAGAACATGCTCTCGTTTTTGATTTTACCGGAATCGAGGGAGGATTCAGTCACCTCTGACTTGGATCCTTTATGTTGAGGTCCATTATGAACGCCATTTTTCTCACTTCGGATTCTGGTAAACTTAATAAGAGTTGGGTTTGGGGGTGTGTGGGAGATGGAGGCATCTGAGGACTCTTCACTGGCCTCCGTTTTTACCTCCCATTGTTGTTTCAACAACTCAGAACGGTCAATGGGGGACGAGCACTTGTTGTAAATCTCTGAGCATTCATCGCCGGCACATGGTGAGCGAGACTTTGGCTCCTGACTTAAGTCTTTCTCCTCGGGTTCTTCGCTGGCGGCAAGTGCTCTTGACATTAAGCCACTGCTGGCAGGCAAATAGAAGGAGTGCATGGCGAATGACCCATCTGACGACCCTGGGGAACTGCTTTCCTTCTGTTTGGAGTTCGTAGCCCTAAGTGTTTTTTCTTTGGGCGTTGACGACTTTAGCTTACTGTTTGGTGTGCATTTTATACTAGGCTCTGTTTTCTTCACCAGCTTGTTCGCAACGGCTTTTTTCGTCTTTTTACTCGGCTGTACTTTTTTAGGTTTAGTGCTTGATTCTTTTGCCACCTCTACTTGCAGTAATTCCTCTGAGCGTTTGGGGCACAGAATCCTCGGGACAGAGTCAATATCTGAATATGGACTGTCTAGGGGGTCTGATTTGTGCCATTCAGCAGCTGTGGGAGCTTTGTAGCTGTCCGATGATGGGTTCGATTTTGATTTAGATGATAAAGAGCACTCATTTAGTTTCACAGGAGATTTTACAGTTGAGCTATTCTTTTTAGTTGCTTTTTTCTTTTTGCTTCCAGTGACAGGTTTTCCTCTGTTCTGAACGGATGCATCAAGTCCATTGGACAGAAGTGAGCTTGATGATGGGGACTGTCTATCAGACGTTGGACAAGTGGGACTTTTCGGTGCCTTTTCTTCTATACAAGGCATGTGCACATCACGAATTAAAGACAATGGAGGTTCACTATTTAACCATTTGGTCAGCGCTGCCTCTGCCTCCAAGACACTAATTTTCCATGATGGCATTAGACGCTTGGGAACCTGTAGAACGAACAAAACTTGTAAACTTTCTAGAAAAAGCATCGATTTAAGGATAACCATTCATTGTTCAAAATATAATAGCATAAAAAGTTGCAACACTTTACCGTGTATTTGTAATCTTTGTCCTTCTGTCTTCCTCTCCGTCTCAGAACCGGGAGTTTTTCAAACTGATAGCCTCCTTCAAAAGGAAAAGTGGCTTTTGCTGGAACCCAAGCTTGATCTATGATCTCCCCAAACATCCTGACAAAATAGAGGCGGCATGGCCGCCGACTGGGATCTGCAAGAACATGTCATCATTCTGTGACAATATGACAATAATGGGTTCTGAGAAAATTTAACCTAGAATATGATTTGGTTTCAGCAGTAACCATTTACTTTCTTGAACAGTGGAAGTAAACTAAGTTTTTTTATCATCTTAAAACTTGCTTGTGGAATACATTTTATTGTTTTAATAACAATATAACAAAGTCTAAATTAAAAGGGATGAAAAGTGCTAACACTTTATTTTAAGGTGACAGACACATTACATGTACTTACTGTAGTAATAACTAACTAATATATAATGCATAATAAGTAACTAAACTTAAAGGCCCGGGTATTCTTAACTTTCCACTATCTTCAAAGTATACTCTTTTGGCAGTGAGTGCGGAAAGACCCGTTTCGGCGCATGCGTACTATCTAGTGGACTTTGTTTTCAAGTCACTCGCACATGAGCTGTTGTACACGCATTGTCCAAAAATTAGGCATCAGTGTGTGCGGACCCTCCTGAAGATGAAAATTATGTCACGTGGACAATACGAGGCCCGTCTCTGAACGTGGACGGCCCGAAATATACCAAAGTAAACTTATCCCTATAGCAAGAGCATGTAGTTAATTTAATATTACTCTGTACTTATGTGTGTTATTACACTGCAACAACTTCTCAAAATAAAGTGTAAACAAATACAACACATCTCAATAACATGTCCTGTCATCACAATCTCACATCAGATGAAAGTATATCTGGATATCATTCCAAAAAAAAATCACCTTTCATTTTGGTGTGGACTTCAATCTGTGGGTCAGTGGTTACATGACAGGGCCACCAGGGTCTGCGGTTGAATTTGGCCCACACAACATCTCCATCAGAGTACTTTACACCTGGGATCTGCTTCTTCTTTGGGCTGTTGGACTTTAGGTTAAAATAAAAATAAAAATGTCAATCATCATTCATTAAACATCAATCACATGAGACAAGGCTGCTTAAATTGTGTTTAGGCTACTCTTTTAGCATTTCAGATACTCTCATCTTTGAGCAGTTTGTGGTTGACAGCTTAACTGCAACCCACACGAATGAGTAAAATACAAGTCTAGTGTATACTCGGCCTTTGTCCTAACTGTGACAAAGATCGTGGCCAAATAAAGTAAAAAAAAAAAAAAAGTATCAGCCAACAAGGGCTGGGGAAAAAAATGAAGTTGTGTTTGATAGAGCCATTGTCAACACTTTTAAACATTTTAATGACAGACTAACAAATTAGATATTTAAATGTTTAAATTATCTGCATTAGCCTGTTACTGTGGTTAATTGACAGAAGTTTTTCTGACTGGTGTCAGTTTAAAAATGTATTGAGATTTGTTATACTGCACATTGGGTTTTCTGAAATATTGGTGTCAATAGTGTGCAAATTAAGTTTCATGCAATTTAAATAAGTAATGCATAAAGTGGGGTCCAAAACTACCAGAGTGGTTGTTTCTACTCAGCGTTTTTCTGATTGCATACAATTCATTTTTAAATATAAACTAACTTTATTTTGGTTTAGTAACAGCAGCACTCAAGGTGCCCCATACATGTGTAAAACCTGATGATCAAGATCATGTTCTTCTGCATGATTTGTGAAAATGTCATAACATTTCTTTGAATTTAATGTTTATTTCAAGGTTTAAATAGAATTTTGAATCAAAATTTTAGTGTGGATCCCACTGTGTGTGCATGAATATGTATTAATATACACTGCATACATTTAAGGGGTGCACCGAAATTTCACCTATTCAATGTCCACAAACTCGTAAATGTAGAGAAGAGAATTTTGCTACATATCCGCAGTACATGTTCATTTTATTTATAGTAGTGATGTCTTCGTTATTTAATATGTTTGAATAAATCTGTCATGAAACAAAGTTATTACAGTTTACTGCCATTTAAATGTTTATATTTCACCAAGAACCTGAGAAGCAATTGTGTTACTAAGTTATAGCAATGTGAAAGTTGATTGTTAAATAACTTTGATTTATTAATGAATTGATACGTTATTTTCGGCTTCGGTTGCATCCTGATTTTTCAGTTTTGGCCAAGGATTTTCATTTCGGTGCATCCCTTTGGTGCATTTATTTATGCATGGACTTCCTTTTACTAAACAACAGCAGGTTTCCAAGTGGAAACGCTTTAACAAAATATCTCTGTTGTACACCTGTTAGGGCAAAACCACAATCAAGACAACAAAACAATCAGGTGAATATAAAAACATCTTACAGGATTTGAATGGGAGTCACTGGGAGAAATTGCTCTTTTAGAGAGACCAGAGTTAAATATTGAAGTGCTGTTCCCAGTTCTGGGTAGATCACAGTCACTGTCTGAATAATCATCCATACTATCAAAATCCTCCATCATGACCTCAACAGGCAAATGCGAAGGACTAGCAGGAGGGTCAGACTTCACTGTATTTTTAGCAACAAGGTTACAACTTCCATGTTTGTTTGTACTTAAGTCCAGCCTGTGGCTGCTTTGAGACTTTGTGTTTGCCAGATTTCGTTTCTGGCATTTCTTTGTCGGCAGCGCGTCTTTAAACTTTGCCACTGCTTCTCCCCCACCATCCACATCCTCGTCATTATCCTTGCTGTCCCCACTGTCAAACAGTGTTGACTCAAAATGCAAAAATCCATTTGGGATGGATGGAAAGTGTTCCAAGCTATCTGAGCTTACAGGTGAGAAACCATTTTTGTCCAGATCCTGAATAGTAGTCCTGTCAGTGTTTCCCTGCGAATTGGACGCGTGATAAAGGCCTATTCCGAACTCACTGCCACCGATGGGATTGTGCATGAGCAATTTATTTCGCCCGTGAAAATCCTTGTCCTGCAAACTCATGTCCGCATGGTTCACCATAGTGGTCAGGTCCTGAAGTCTCCTCAGCGGGCTGTAGTTGGAGGTGGATTCTCTCTGATTGTACGCGAACGGTGATGCGGAGAGCTTGTAGCCAGAGTTCAAGAAATGCATGGCAGACCCATGGTCTCCCTGTCGCTTCGTGCTCTGGTGTCCACAGGAGCTAATGCGGCTATCAAGTGCCTTGGACTCCTGTGGATTGCCACGACACTCCGAGCCATCCCTGCCAGCCACTTTGTAGGACTGATTCATGTTGTCATGGCTCCATCCTGAAACAAAATAAACAGGAAAATGCTTTTAGAAGATGTATAATAAATAACCCAGAGTTTTCTGAACTTCTAAGGGGCTTGTCGCAACTGGCCGCAGAACACTATTGAGTTGTGCATTAAAACAAATGTTTCGAAACAATTGAGCACCAAACAAGATGATTCCACATTAATGATATTTATTAAAAGCAAAAACACTAATACTGTAATACTGCAAAACACCAGCATGCAAATGCATTATCCCTGCTGAAAATACTAGCTGGAGCGAGTTACCTCAGACTACCTCAGACCAGCAATAAACCAGATGCCAGTTTAAGGTGGTCAAGATGGTTTATTGGAGCATGGTAGCCGGTCGACCTGCTACTGACAATCTTACACCGAATAGAAACCCGCTATCATGTTCCAACAACACAGCTAGCATCAAAGTGGATTTTCTAACAGGGTACTCGGGTTTAAGCCGCAACCCTCGTAGGCCGTCATGTCAAGAATCCATCAAGACAAAGATAAGAATGCTTGTAAAACTCAACATGAATCGCTATGTCGAAGACACTTTGATATGCCCATACTGGGCGGTTTAAAGATGACCTCTGCCGCTATTTCAGAGTGAAAAGGCTGGTAAAGTATGTATGTTACATTATCATCATGTGCATCAACAGTTCCCATACAGTCGCACGGCAGTAAAGTCACCCACGACGGTAAGATAAAAAAACGCTACAAATACAGAAGGTACAGGAGAGAAATCGCCGATTTCTTACCATTTACGACTCGGTGACGAGAAAATCACTGGAAAGCCCTTCAAATTCGAGCATGTAGCGTTACTTTTGGTCAATTTGTGAAAGCGGATCTGCAAAATCCCAGCAGCATTTGCACCAGTAGGCCCGGCCTCGGCACTCATTTCTCTCCAACATCAAAAATGGAGATGAATAAATAAACGAGACTGAAACTGAGCGCCTGTCACTTTCCCCCGAAGCACCACGTCAATAAATCAAAAGCACGTTTTTCAGCGGCCACGATTTCTATTGAAATACATGATTGTTTGCCCCGCTTGCCGAGTGCCCCTGGTTGTATGTGTGTGTGTGTGTGTGTGTTAAAACAAGCCCTGACTGACTGCCTGTGTGTATGTGTGTGTGCTGGTGAGAGCGACCAATCGGCACAGCACACCCAACCCCCAGTCAGTATACATTCACATCCACTTAACCCGATTCACTATTTCCCAGGTACACCTCTCTCACACGATGTAAATGCTTGTGGACAATGTGGAAGCAAATACGCAAGTTTAACTTTGTCCAAAACGCGTCATGCACACAGTCATAGTCGACGCGGGGCTTGTTGGGTTCATGGAACGATACAACAGTGTTTTTTTTTTTTTTTTTTTTTTTTTTATTGAACAATAAGAACAAAACAAAAATAGAATAGAATATACATCTACAGTGGCATTGACAAATACAGGTAAATGAGTATTAAGCAAGGCACATATCACTTAAGGTAAAAGTAAATAAATAAAAATAATTACAATGAAGAGAACAAACATAAAAAAAAATAAAAAAAAAAATAAATAAATAATAAAAAATAAATTACAAAGGGGTCACTTTATTCCTCTTCTAAAAGCTCAAGGTCTCTTATAATTCCAGTCAATTTCTGGGCCTTTTTACTTTTCATACATTCCAAAGCTGGAAAAAAATTACAAATCAATTCTTTTTTAAATACAGAAAAATAAGGTTTAGTTTTCATACATTTGGATTTATGAATAAAAAATTTTCCCAGTATCAACATTACATTAACAAGAAATTCGTTTCTTTTCTCGTTCAATAGTATTCCAAACATAATATGTTTTCTGGCAAAAGTAGGCAGTGATTGAATCTTTGATTCCAACCAATAAGACATATTCTCCCAAAAAATATTTGAAGAAACACAAGAAAAAAAAAGATGATCAGTTGTCTCTATGTCAACTTGACAAAAAGTACAGGCATTTTCTTCAAAATTAAACCGTTGTCTTAAGAATTCACTAGATGGGTATACTCCATTGAATATTTTAAAATGAGTTTCTTTAGCTTTAGGAGCCACTGGAAAACTAATGTACTGTGTTCTCAATTTTTTAACAGCTTGTTTATCATAAGATTGCAAAACACAGTTTTTATATCGAGGTGTCGGATATAATATAGAATTGAAACAAGAGCGGATAAGCTTGTTGGGAATCATTGCTCTGAGGTCATTACCATTGAAGAGAAGGGATGGAAGTTCAAAAGGTCCATCAGGTATGTTGGCAGAAGCATTTTGTACAAAATGTATAAAACTTTTTGGAATGGCATTTAAAACACGCTCAAAAAGTTTGCGATCACATTGTAAATTATATTTAGTACAAAAGTCTTTAAAAGTTAACAATCTCCCATCTTCATCCATCAAATGAAGAACTGACCAGATACCCTTTTCTAGCCACTCAAGAACACATAGAGACTTATATTTAGAAACAATAAATCTATTGTTCCATATTGGGATTTTATGTGGAGAAAAGTTATGGTTATATAATAATTTCCAATATAACAAAATCTGTTGGTGAAAAGACGATAATTTAATTGGCAGTCTGGAAACAGTATAATCGCATCTCAAAAGGAAATCAATTCCACCCAATTTTCTAAATATACCTCTGGGAATGCAAAACCAAAAACTATTCTCATTTGTTATAAAATGTTTAAGCCATTTGATCTTCAACATGCCATTCATACAATAGAAGTCAAAGGCTTGTAATCCACCATTTTCATAATCTTGTACAAGTTGAGCTCTCTTTATATAGTGCACACGTTTTCTCCAAATATAATTGAAATTAATTTGATTAATGGTCTTAATAGCTCTGTTAGAAATAGAGAGACAAGATGCAGGGTAGATACACCTAGAGAGACTCTCCATTTTAGTTAGATAAATCCTTCCAAAGATAGACAAATCCCTCTGCATCCATGCATCAAGCCTGCCTTTGCACTCATCCCATCTATTCCAGACATTTTGCTTTTCCATCATGACTTCATCCTTAGAGATGCTTATGCCTAAATATTTGACAGTCGACTTGATTGGAATATTATATGCAATTTTAAGAGGGCATTCATGTATGGTAATAATTTCACATTTAGCAATATTAAGCTTTAAACCTGAGAATTTAGAAAAATAGTTAACTATCTCAATTACTTTAGGAACCTGGTCAAGACCTTTTAAAAATAGAGTTGTATCGTCAGCCAATTGACTAAGTATGATTTCCTGTCCGAATACATTTAATTTTTCAATACTTGAGTTCTTAATTAAGAGAGCCAACATCTCTGTAGCCAGAATAAACAATGAGGGTGAGATGGGGCAGCCTTGTTTAACTCCTCTCTTGATATCAAATCTGGGTGAAGTACCTGTTGGTAGGGCCACTGAACTATTGGTATTTGTGTAAAATAACTGAATAATGTTACAAAAAACTTCACCAAACCCATACATTTTCAGACATTTAAAAATAAACGAATGTTCTAACATATCGAAGGCTTTGTAAAAGTCTAAAAATAAAATAACCCCATCATCCACTATTTCCTGATTATATTCCAGCAAGTCCAAAACCAAACGAATGTTGTTATGTATAGATCGGCCTCTAATGAATCCAGTTTGTGTCTCCCCGATAATTTTAGATAAACCAAGTTTTAAACGGTTATTATATATGTGGGTTAGTAATTTATAATCAGTGTTTAGCAAAGTTATAGGTCGTAAATTATCCAACAATCTAGGGTCTTTCCCTGGTTTGGGAATAAGTGTGATTAGGCCTTGTCTCATTGAATTAGGCAAAACCGCGGATTTAGTAATTTCCTGAAAAACTGCAAAAAGAAATTCCCTTAATAAATCCCAAAAATGGCGATAAAAATTAGCCGTCATACCATCTGGGCCAGGTGATTTATCCAATGACAGACACATAACAGCAGAATCAAGATCTTCAATTATTAAATCTGCATCACATATCATTTTGAATTGATCATCTATATGAGGGACAAAATTTCCAATTTTTTCAAAGAGGGAATTAGGGTCTAATATTGCAGAGGATGAAGAATACAAATTCTGATAAAAGTTGGCAATTTCTTTAGCTATCAGTTGCGAATTAGAACACTCTGTCCCATTAATAATTAAGGTTTTAACAGAATTTCTTTCTTGCCGTTTTTTTTCCAACCTACAGAAATAAGCAGAGTTTTTCTCCCCTTTTTCCATCCACTTGGCTCTTGATCTAATGTACGCTCCCTTAGCTTTCCTCATATAGATTTCATCCAACTCTGCTTGCAAAAGTAACAATCTTGATCTATCATCCTCCGTTAAAATTGATTTGTTAGAATATTCATTTATTTCTTTAATAACAGAGATCTCTTTTAAATTATATGATTTTTTTAACTGTTTACTGTAAGAGATAGATAACTGTCGAACTTTGTATTTAAAGAATTCCCATTTACTTGTCCAGGAAACCAGGCTGTTATCATTCAAAATATTTAAAACAGTATCTTTAACCAGTTTTGTATAATCTTCATTTCCGAGAAGGTTAGAGTTAAACTTCCAATAACCCTTATTACGGAAAGGTTTATTTGTATGATATATCATCAATTCAATTGAACAGTGATCTGTTAGGGGAGCTGCCGATATACTAGATATAGTTTGATAAGGTAAAAAACTATGAGAAATTAACCAAAAATCAATTCGGGACTTGCAAGAAGCATCAGGTTTAAACCAAGTAAACTGTCTTAGAGAGGGGTTTGACTCACGCCAGGGATCTATTAAACCTTGATTATTACAAAAGTTTGATAACAATGAATTGTAATGATTTACATTATATTTAGTTGGCGACCTATCCAACCACTCATCATACACCATGTTGAAGTCACCACCCAATATAATAAGATCAGTCGCATACTTTGTTTTCAATTCCTCTAATATCAGTGACATTTCTGAAATTAACGATTTGTTTTGGGATAAATTATTATAACCATACACATTTCCTAAGACAATGTAACAATTTTCGATTTTTTGAACACAAAATAACCAATGTCCATCCAAGCTAGATTTTGACTCAACAAGTTTCCCTGGAAAGTTGTTAAACAGAAAAGCAACACCTCCTGAGCGAGTTGTGCCATGAGCAAATAAAACTGGTTCACCCCACTGATTAGACCAAAAAGTACGATCACTGCCACATGAATGAGTTTCCTGCAAAAGAACACATTGGGCTTTTCTTTCTTTACAAAACAAAAATGTAGCTTTTCTTTTTGTATTGTCTCTTAGACCCCTAACATTTAGTGAAAGAAAAGAAATGCAGCTATTAAGTTTAAACATAGAACAAAAAAAAAAAATAAAAATAAATAAATAACCGTGTTAACAAAACACCTTTAACAACCCTACTGGGGACAGAAAAACTCTGGTTAATTAGGATTTAACACAAAATCAAACAAAATAATATGGACTGATGCTCTGGCAGATAAGTTTCATATTCAGCTCTTATAACTTACAGCCTCTTTATTGTTTCATGGCAGTAATCAGCCCACGCTTTGATTAGTAGTTGAGATTAAACGGCCGTCGATGTATCCCAAAGGACCGCGATAGTACGCCTTCTTTCCGGCACTTCTGGCTTCTTGGATGAGCGGCCAAAGAGCTGCACGAGCACTCCGGTCCTCTGCTGACAGATCCTCCGCGAACCTTATTCCACGTTCAGTGCACAGCTGCGAGTTCTTTGTAATCTTCCAGAATTCGTCTCTGTATTTACGCATGGTGAACTGAACGATCATTTGACGGTGTCTTCCACTCTCTCTTTTTCCAATCCGGTGAACTGAGTCAACGACATCTTCCAACTTCTGTGCCAGATGTGGGGCTATGGTACCCAAGAGATCAGTCACCTCTTTCCGTGCATCCTCGTCAACATGCTCTTTCATCCCTTTAATACGAAGATTCCATCTCCGCTTATAACGCTCAAGCTCGGACGTTTTCAACCTTAAATCCTCATTAGACTTCTCGAGAACTGCGGTTTTCTTTTCCAAGACGGCATATTTTTGCTTGTATTCTTTAATCTCCGCTGCATTAAACTCTACTGCTTTGGAGATGTTCACAATCATGATGCTGTTTTGTTTTATTTTGTCTGCGATTTCTTCCAGCGTTCTATCTTGAGAGTCGAATCTTGTCTTTAAGGAGTTAATCGCCTGCAGCAAGGCTGCATTGGAGATTTCACATTCGTCTGGTTTTACCTTTTTTTGAGGCGTTTTGGTTGGAGTGATGTGAGAAGCATCCCGTCGTTTTTCCTTTGGGTTCTCTCGTCCGTAGTTATGATCCATTTCCATGGGTACACTTTGGGCTCTGTTTGCTGAATGGGCCATGTTCTCGTCAAAGTTTATTCTTTCAATTTAGAGCGTATCAAAAACAATAGTAAAAGTAATAGTACTACGTTTAATTTGTCACTTAAGTTTCTGAGACTGATTTATGAGAAGGTGGCAATAAAAAGTATAAGTTGAAATAGTTCTGCCAGAGCTCAGCAAAACACGTGCGCCTAGCTCGCCATCTTGCCGGAAGTCCCGATACAACAGTGTGCATTTGCTTTTTAACCCTCACGCCATTTGTTTCCTTGTGCTAACAAAGGCGTAACTTCCTCCATTTTAGAGAGACGGTCCGTGCTTTGCAAGGTAGCCGAGCACACGAAGTCATATGAGGAAAAAAACACAATTTATTGCCCTCGATTAAAATACACAAGCTCCAGCATGCTTCATGTTCTAAGTTTTCTTTGCGCATTTTGTGGGAGGTTGGAAATTAGGCCATGCCACGCATAAGTGTAATATGTCAGACAGTTATGGCAAGCGGGATTAACATTTAGGGTAACTTAACTATTGTTGCCTTCACGAGCTAGCGAAAATTTCTTACTTCTCACTTCTGAAGTCATGAAATTTTGAATTGAGCAATTCATGTTCAATTATTTATAATAATTCGGATAGAGCATGAAGGCAGCATCATGACCTTTTAATGTTATTACTTATTTTATTGTTATATGCCTATTTATTAGTCTATGTTTCAACTGTATGCATTCTAGTAAGATTTTTAATTAATATAAATTAGCTGGGCTGATATGGCAAGTAAATAGATAAGAAATAATACTACTATAGAAAATTGTGGCTATCTTATTTTTAAAAATACTAATAAACCTGAATTAGATACCAACAAAACTGGGAAAACTACAAAGCATACTACTGAATTGTCTCCACAGAATAAATGTAAAAATGGCTTGCCACAGACATCAGTCACCCTCTTTTGTGTCATGAGATAAAATGTAAGTAATTTTTAGACCTATTACCTGTACGAAATATGGTAGATATATAAGTGGCAATATATTTGCAATAATATATAAAAAAAAAATTAATTTTTCACCTTTCCCTTTTTCAAAATTTGGTTTTTATAGCTTATCTGCAGTCAGTGTTTGTATAGACAATGATTTAAAACTAGAACAAAGGCAGTAGGAAAGAACCCATAATTTGGCAGCTGTTTCCATAAATTTGTTGTAATTTGAACAAGAACGTAACATTTCTGTTTTACTTTACCGCATACCATTATGTGCATTAGAGTGTTTATGTAATTAACATGTAAGGCAGTAGTTACGTGTTTTGTCTTAGAATATATTTTTTGAATAGTTTCCTATTAAGCCAAGGCAATTTAATTTTTTTGTCTACACATGTTATTATTGAAACAGTTAATCATACATTAATTACATAATAACAAATTTTAATACCAACTCAATTGGCATTCAACATTTTTGCAAATCATCTTTTTTTTGTATAAAAATGTGGTTCAGCAGTTTTTCCACACGATTTCTATTTTTGGAGTGATAATTGTTTATTTATTTTTTTTTTTATCAGATCAGGTGTATTCAATTACACAAAACTGAGACTTGTTTTATCCCAGCGATTAAAAAAACAACAACATTAACATGGTATTTTAAATTGGATTATTAATCAGCAAAACAATTTTGGGTGGAACAATGGACACTGGCTGATAAACTTACAGTTATATTTACAAGAGCATGTGTAAAGGTTATGCCATAGCTGAAATCTGTCATTTGACTTTATATCAAAAATCCACATCATCCTCTGTCTTAAAAGGGCACCAGACATTTCATAAATACAACAACAAAAAGGATAAACATATTGTTAGACACTACAAACAGACCACTTTCACATACACATCAGGGGAAGAGAGGATTACTGATTACTGCTGATCAGATTTTTCAAGTCAAATGTCCTAAAATCTAGAGTGAAACAAACCAGGCGTGATGAAGATTGTAACTTCACATCAAAACCTTTATGGAAAAGGTAAAGTTAAATGTAAAACACAATTGAAGTTTCTCTACATTTCACTTTAGCAAAGTCTAAGGACCAAAAAGATTAATATGTGTGCAATACTGTAACTTTATTTCACAATACTACCGTCATGCACATCTGTACAATAGGATAACGTACGCCATAGCGAGAAAGGTAATGCTAATGGTCTTTGGAAAATGATACACAAAAGGATAACACTGGCACATACACATGAGTTTAGGTATCAAAATTCATCTTTTTTTTTTTTTTTTTTGTTCCTTGCAAGAGTTTGACATTGCAAACACAATTCACTGTGACTTTGGACATGCACCCACATCCCTAGTCCCTCCTTGCAATAAATAAAAAAAAGTTTTTCACTCTGTAGTGTCTTTCTCTTTCACAGCGGCTTCGCACAAGGCCCTCTTCTGCATCATGGTGTAAGGGAACGGTGCACCATTGCAGGCGCCATAGTCCAGTTTATTAAGCCTTGATAGTGTTTTGATGCTGCCCGGAGGCCTACCTGGGCTCACCTTGTAGCCTGCCGCTTTGGTAGTGCCCAGTGGCCTTCCTGGGCTGGTTTTAAAACCTGCTGCTCTTGTGGTCCCAGGCGGCCGTCCCGTACTTGTCCTGTAGCCTGCAGACTTAGTGGTACCCGAGGGCCTGCCTCGTCGTCCGGACTTCCCTAGGCCCTTCTTTTTCTTAGAGCCCTCTGGAGCATCTGCACCCCTCATTCGAACGGTTTGGGAGTGAAATTCATTCTGGGAGTCTTGCATCTGGCAAGACATGGGTTTGATCATGCTCTGTGGCAAGGGGGACAAGTTTGGGAGTGGCAGTTGTAGAGAGGGAGGTGGGACAGTGGGGTAAAATTTGTTGGACTGTGAACTGCACAACTCAAAATGACTGGCTGGGTGTTGCCCATCATCCCCAATGCTACCCAGACCATAGTCGTTGCTGTTGCTGGCTACTTGGTGCATCATTTTCTGTTCAAATAAAATATTTTAAAATGTTAAATACAGTGGTTAGTAAAATGTTTATTTGTATTGTAAAATAACCGCCGAATATAGAAGTATCGCAATTATACTTTCCAAACATCTCACAACGAGCGCGTGCTTCGCAAATGAGTGATTGACGACGTCAATCAAAAAGAAAACAACAGGCCTGTTCAATTAACCATGGAAAGTTATGCAGAGAGAGTCGAACTATGGAAATAGTCAAACTATAAGTATGTCACAATGTACAGCCGGATAAGCAAACGCAATGTTTTATTACAAAAAGACAGAGACCGCATAATATCTGTTATGCATCGTTGTCCTGTCATTCTGCACGTTTGGTATCTTTTCCCCCCGGCACTATTCGATTGTTAATATATAAAAGTCTTTCAATTGCTGTAAATAAAATGAAATATAATATAAATTAGATGCAATTTTGCGTTAAATAATACAATGAAGAAAGTACTTTACCTCATCTGGAACGCGGATCACGGAATGTAAAGGGTTAAACATGAAACAGATCTATCTTCCATTCTTGAAAGCAAAAGTATCATTTTATTAACGCAGTAATATGCACATTCTTGAAGCGCGAGATGCTTTCTTTCCGAACGATCGTGCTAATTCTGGTTTAAGGGATGGATATTTGTTCCATGAACCGCTGGGGTTTAAAGCTGAAAGGCAGCCATTTTCACTAGAAAAAATAATAAAATAGTATGAATAGCTTATACGCATGCGTCAGCTGCTGATGGGAATTTATACTGTTCTTCAGCAAATACGAGAAGGGCCTAGTGCAAGCTCACGCGCCACTTTTGTTCTTCATATTTATTCATTTATATATATTTATTTGGTGCTGACATTTGAAATCTCATCTGTTTTGTCGTGGATTTTTTTAATTATTATTTCTATTCATTTAAATCGTTTTATGAAAAGCTCATATGGTGAGAGCTTACAGAGAAGAATGCGCTGTTCGACGTCACAGAAATAAAACATAAACTATGATTTATGAGAAAATATTTTTTTTGAACATAATCACATTAATGATAAGATATCATTAAAATAATTCAATGATAGGATATCATTAAAATCAGTATGGTGTGAATAAAGAATGTTTAAAAAAGAGCTGCTTCACTTTACAGCAACTAGCATAACATTATTATTATTGTTATAAATTAATGAAAGATCCTCAAATTTCTAGCAACTAGCATAATAATAATATATTATTATGATTATTTACACCACACAAACCTATGTAGCAGTTCTCAAATTACTGTCATTCCCCTTGTACATCAGCTGGCGGCACTAAACGCACAAGAGACAAAAACAAATACTACTATGGCGAAAACTGACCCGGTCAATATTAATAAGGTCAGTCTGACGTTCATTGATAGCCTTCCTATAGCAAACGCCTAATTTATGAATATGAATAAGGTCATTAAGATACGGCATTGGGATGTCTACCAATGGAACAGGCTTGACTGCTTAATATTAAGAATCAAGCCTTCGCGGTAGTAGGATTCGTCATTTTGAATGCGGATTAGGTGACGTCAAGCTACATGAGCGGATTCTTCGTCGCTGCTGCGCATCATAACCACCAGAGTCTGACAGAATTCAAAGGAGCTTTCAGGCTTAGTTTTAATCGTTTACTGCTTACAAAGAGTTGCAATAATCGTTTTATTCTTCAGGGAGTAAAAGTTCCAGTCCATTTGCAAGTTAACAAGGAGTCGACAGCTTCATTTTAAACTGGGATTGATTACTTCTGACGCATGACGCCAAACCCATTTAAAGCATTTTGACTCGTTTCACCTTATTTTTAACATTACGTGCATGCTGTAAGTGTCGAGAATGGACGAGAAGGTATTCACGAAAGAACTGGACCAATGGATCGAGCAACTGAACGAGTGCAAACAACTATCAGAAAACCAAGTGAAAATTTTATGCGAGAAGGTGAGTGACGATCTCGTCACCTGTGTCAGTGTTGCATTGTATGTTAAGGGTAAAACACGTGTTATGACAGGCGGCCCGTGGGTGCACTGGCAGACTGTCTAAATTTGTTATCGGCTCAGATACAGTTGCAATGCGCCCTTCCCACTGGCAATCCGAAGATGGCGGTGCCGAATTATTCTATTATTGGCCGTCTGTGCGCCACGAATGTGACTATTGGTTGTCGGCTGTGCAGCGCAGTTAGCAACCAGAGCTCTTCAGGTTATGCCCACTTTTGTTATTCGCTTTTCAGGCAGAGTCTGGGGTTTGTATTTGCTTTCTAAGCCAACATGGGACGGTAAAGGTTCAGACACGCCAACCTCAGTGGGGGAAACAACAAAAAAAAAATAATAATTTTGTGTTGTATTTGTAACTTATGTTGTTTTAAAGCCATTCTTGTTGCTTAGCAATATTATAATTGGCCATTATTTCAAGTGCGCATCTAGAATTAGTCCACATGCATTAATCAGTCTGTCCTTATTCTGTTAAACCATTTTTTTGTGTTCTGCTATAAGTTTTCCTCCCACAATGTAAAAAAAGAAAATGCTCACTTGTTTCCTGAAATAGTTGACCTAAAAATGAAATTCTGTCGTAAAGTACTCACCCACACAATGCTCCAAACCTGCATGATTTCTTTTTTTTCTGTGAAGCACAAAGAGAGATCTGCCATAGTTTGTATTGTGGAATTGATGTTAAAATAAATGAATAACAATATCAGTTATTATTACTAATTCATTTAAGCACATCTGGTAACTCTTTATTTTACAGAGTCCTTGATACACGTTACATAAATATATGTTCTATTAACTATAATATATGCGAAATTACAAGCAACTAACCCTAAACCAAGTACATGCAGTTAATTGTGAATATTAAGTACGTAAATAATAAATATATAATTACACTGTGACACAGACACCTTAAAATAAAGTGTCACAGCACATTTTAAGGCTATTAAACAAACATTGTTTAATGTATTTAGTCCCTCTTAATTTATTTCCAATAACACATGCCATTATTAAAGGGGTGGTAAAGTATGATTTCACTTTTCTAACTTTACTTAGTGTGTAATGTTGCTGTTTGAGCATAAACAACATTATCCAAGTTACAACGCTCAAAGTTCAACGTAAAGGAAGATTTTAAAGAAAAGGACTACAACAAACGGCTGGTGGGGACTACACGACGTCACCAACCCTAAAATGTACATAAACCCCGCCCCCGGGAACACGCAGTCCATGTTGAGAAGAGGAAAAGTGGTTGTATAAGAGTACATTTGTGAGTCAGCTCAAACTTTAGCATCCATCTTTTTTCACATCACTCTGTGTGCATCTCACAACAGTTTCTATATGAGTGATTTATAGATTACATGGCAGAATATCCTAATTGAAGATAGTTAACACTCCATTCAGAGATGTCCTGTTGCATTCTACGTGTTGTCACTTATTCTTGAGTCTCTCCATCTTTGACTGACCCCATTTTAACATTAAAGGGAGAACAGTTTCTGTCATTTTCTTGAGGAAATCGCAGCTGCTAACACACGAGCTCTTGAAACCCCGCCCTCTGCAGCAGCTCATTTGCATTTAAAGGGCCAGGCACAAAACGGTGTTTTTTTGCAAACCCTCAAAAAGTGACAACTTTAACATGCTATATAAAAATATCTGTGTGGTATTTTGTGCTAAAACTTCACACACACACTGGGGACGTCAGAGATTTATTTTACATCTTGTGAAAATTGCATTTTACCACACCTTATAATATAATATAATCCCTGGTCCGTGTCTACATTGCCTCCCACAGTTTGTTTGAAATTTTAAATGCACTTTAGGTTAATAGTTGAAACCATTTCTTGGTGTCTAAGCTGCTTGTTTTATCTATTGCAGGCTAAAGAAATTTTATCTAAAGAGTCGAACGTCCAGGAAGTGCGTTGCCCGGTCACAGTATGCGGAGATGTACATGGCCAATTTCACGATCTTATGGAACTGTTTAAGATCGGGGGTAAATCACCAGATACTAATTACCTATTTATGGGAGACTACGTGGATAGAGGTTACTATTCAGTCGAGACAGTCTCACTGCTGGTGTCTTTAAAGGTATGTGAATAGACACAGCTTTAACATTGATCTGAAGTTACTAAAACAAGAAAATGTGAATTTGCATTGTGTTATTGGCTGGTTTTTAATAATTGTAAATCCTGCAGGTTCGATATCGAGAGAGAATCACCATCCTCCGCGGAAACCACGAAAGCAGACAAATCACACAAGTTTATGGCTTTTATGACGAGTGCCTGAGAAAATATGGAAATGCAAATGTTTGGAAATATTTCACAGACCTCTTTGACTACCTTCCTCTTACAGCCCTCGTAGACACACAGGTAAATTGGCTTCATCCATTGTAATTGTCGTATGACAATCAAAACAAAACGCTGTTTGCGCAGTCATTTGAGTGCGCATAAAGCTTAAACCTAACTCTGTTTGCTCTGTCTGAACAGATTTTCTGTCTCCATGGAGGATTGTCACCTTCAATTGACACACTGGATCACATTCGCGCATTGGACCGGATCCAAGAAGTACCACATGAGGTATAAATTCCACCTGTGAATATTAGAAAGATGTATAGCGTTTCGTTAATATTCAACATTATTTAGAGTCCCAGCTGTGAATAATACTCACAGAAGCTTATGAAATCTTGTTGGCAGGGTCCCATGTGTGATTTGCTGTGGTCCGATCCAGATGACCGTGGAGGTTGGGGGATTTCCCCCAGGGGGGCTGGGTACACGTTTGGCCAGGACATCTCAGAAACATTTAACCATGCCAACTGCTTGACTCTGGTCTCAAGAGCCCACCAGTTAGTGATGGAGGTAAAAGAGAGGTTGATTACCAATGTTTATGTATTGTTTATGAGAAATACATAAAAATTACAATACAAAAAGAAAGAAAAAAATGAATATTTGTGTGTGCAACAGTACTGTGCAAAAGTCTTAGGCAAGCCAGTTTTTTTATATATTTTGCTTTAGTGTGTAAGTGGGAAATTTCAGTTTACATTTCCAAACATTACATATAGTCTCACGATATATCATATATATATAATATATATATATTATATATATATGATATATGAGAGAGAGAGAGACAGAAACACCATTATTATATTATAAAGACATACTACATGAACTATATATATAGAGATACTATTATAGTTTTTATTTTTAGATTTTCCAGTTTTTGTTGTACAATTTAATTATTTTTAGTTAAAATGTTAGTAATTGTGTTGTATGTTTTTGACATTGTCATTTATTGACATTTATTTAATTGATTATTGATTATTTATTGACATTTATGACATTTATTGACATTGATTTTTATTTCAGTTTTAATTGTAGGTATTTTAGTTCAATAAGTTAAACTAAATGAAAGTAAGAAATATTGCTTTGGCAGTTATCTGAAATAAAATAAGTTTATATGTATATATATAATTTTATTTCAGTTAACACTCATTTTATTTCGACGTAACGTTGTAACGATGTATTTATGGTTTTGGTTTAAATATAATAACCCTGGTACAAAGTGATTACATTTTTTTAATTTGTAGCACATGGATAATAATAGACCTACTATATGTTGTTGATAAGCTAAAGGCTAATATATTTTTTTAAACATTTTCACAGGGTTATAACTGGTGTCATGAGCGTAATGTGGTAACGATCTTCAGCGCACCCAATTATTGCTACCGATGTGGTAACCAGGCTGCAATCATGGAACTTGATGACACGCTGAAGTACTCCTTGTATGTATATGACAAACAAAGCATATTTTTTATTGATATTTTCCATTTCCTGTCCCTGTGTTACATTTCTATGATTTTACAACTCTAAACATTTATATTAACAGAATGATTTCCTTTAGTTTACAGTTTGACCCGGCGCCACGTAGAGGAGAGCCTCACGTCACTCGTCGCACTCCAGATTATTTTCTGTAAAATGAGGGAAGGCTTTTTTTAAATTATAGTATTGCAGCACTATCAGTGGACTATCATACTACCAGTGGACAATGAGTATTCATTAAAAGACATGCTCATCTTTTAACATTTTCTAACACAAACCCCTGTCCTTGGACCAAAACGTGCCATATCTAGTACTGCAACAAGCTAAATGCAGTAAACTCAACAAAACACACGAAATGTAACAGTACTCTCTCATCTCCATCACGTATTTTTCTCTCTTCTGTACTAAAAACAGTTGTGTTTTTGATCAGGATGTAAGGGTTTCATCAGACTAAGAGGTTTTTGTGCATTCTTCTGAAGCGCTTTGTTTTGGAATAACAATATTTGAATTTACACACTAAATGTGTCATGTACACCTATGACCCGATAATGTACACGTCGTGATGAGCTTAAAATAGTGCTGTGTATTATAGCTGCATTTTCATGCTGCATGGCCTCGGGTTCACAATGAGCTGTCATCTGGCAAATGTCCGATTGCTGTTTGAACTGATTGCCTACTGCGATGTTTGTTGCAGGTTGGTATGAAACACTTTAGGTTTAGTCTCTTTTCAATGTCCTTTAAGCACTTTTTCAATACAGTATTTGTTATTGTACTTAGTTTACAGAGCAGTAGTTTTGTTTGTTTCTGCTTTTGTATGTTACTGCATTATTTCCCAATACTTTGTAATTTAAACAGAGCACAATTAAATAGGGATTTGAACAGCAATAAAAACTCATGCTATTTATCTATGTTAAGTCTGTTTCTTTTTAGAAAACAGCTGTAAAGTAATGTTTGTCATCTGTATTAGGATACTGCAAAATGTTTAGTGTTGCTGATTGATTTTAATTGTTAGGTCATTCTTGTTATGCAGTACAGTTGAATATATTATATATATATATATATATATATATAATATATATGTATTGGAATTTAAGGAAGGTTATAATATAATACAGCAGACTTTCAAAAAAAGGAAAAATTCACCAAGCTCAGGTAACAATAAAAATGAATAACATGGAACCTAATGGAAAGGAAATAAATTGCTAAAGTTAACTATTACTAA